TGTGTGTTGGCAAGTCCTTAGTATTTCTTCCAGACGGGGAGGGCAGGTCTGAGCCGAGAGCCCGTGCTACAGCACATACAGGCTTACATAACCCAAGGGGCCCAGGGTAATCATTAATGCTGGCTTATTGTCACTGGCTTTGTGCTGGAGTCACCTGGTTGTTTGGATTAAACGTATAGTGGCCATTTAGACAAGGAGAAGGCTCCCGGCACAAGGACTTAGGTGGAAACAACCCCCCAGAGAGGGTGGAAAGCAGGGGACTGTTGCAAACATTGCAGGGTCTCGGCCCAAGCATTCCTCCAGGTAGCCAGGTTTGCCACCTTTCATCACAGCAGCATGCTCAGTGAGCTGGTTTGCTTTCCACAGCGGTGCAGCTCCTTTTTGCCCCCTCAAGCTGTCAGGGAAAAAGCCCCCATGTGACACAGGTCAGGGGAGCAGGACCCTTCTTAGGACGGTTTACCTTCATCACTCCCAGTGCAACACACCAGTAAGTGGGCTCTGGTTCCTCTCTCCTTGGCATCCTTTCCAAAAGTGGACGTTATCAGCACAGCCTGACTCTATCTCATGCCCCATCTTTACCTTTCTTTGCTTATCTGATGTCTCACTGACGTGCCCTATTACTCTTTGACTTCTAGAACCTGCTGTGTGTTATTGATGCGTGGTCTGTGTCACTGTCTGGGGCAAAGGAGATTTGGGGCTTCTTGGTTCTGTTCCCATTTCCCCTCTGTGTTGCTCTCTGGCCTCAGACACATCACTCCACTGCTCTCCATTTAACCACAGGTCATAAAAGTCAGGTCACCTTACAGAAATATCACTTTACACTTATTCTTTATGCTTAGTCCTTACCTCTAGTACATCCTTCCCAGCTGATGGCTCCTCACCTGTCGTAACACTGCTCCTTCACCACTAGCTCTGATGAAGGAACTACAAACAGCCAGAATTTGCCAGTAAAACCTTTGAGAAACATACAGAGATCTCGCAAATGTTAGGAACCAGATCATAATTATTATGTGAAGGCTCTAGCACTGCGCATGTGTCCATTCACACCTCAGAAACCCAGTTATAGATGTTTTAAGATTTATGCATATGTATACCAATACCATACTGCGTTTTGCCGTGCAGAGTTGCTGAAGCAGGGACATAATAAAATTATCTACAGCTGTGGCATCAAAGCACTTCAATATATATTTTATCTTCAGGTGGATAAAGAGTAATCAGGCTTAAGGCAAGGCCACATTTTTCTCATGAATCAGCAAGACCTATAGCAAGGTGCAGGCAGGCCAGAAATTCCACGTAAAACAAACATCAAAATCTTCTTTTGGAAATCTCTACTTTTCTGTGACAAATCTCTGAAAATGTCACTAATTTTCATGCAGAACTAACTCTCCTTTCACAGCAAACATGGCCCTATTCTTTTTGAGAAAAATGTTGCAATTTTACATAAAGTTAAACTTCCTCACAGGTATTAGCCAAAAAACCCACACACAATCCACACTCAGAAACCATACTTAAAATAGAAAAAAGAAAAAAAAAAAAAAGAAAGAATAAGTGTTTCATGGAAAATATTCCAGGCCACAACATAGCTTAGATCTTAGATTTCTGCGCTGCTGTGCTCCGACAGCAGGTACGTTGCATTACTCCACTTCAGCTTTAAGTACTGCCTTTTGCAGAAAAACAACAGCTTCTGCCCCGAGTGTCTTGCAGGGTGAATTGCCCAATGTTACAGCAATATCAGAACTCCAGATGAGATGGGGAAGAGACTGAGGCGCTGGTTAAAACAGAGCAGCTGGTTTAATGCATGATGTCAATAGGGTGAGAACAGAAGGGAATCGGAGATCTTCTTGGTGCAGGCTTGCTAATTAAAGCATGTATATGACTAGAACTCTTTGGCTGCCCTTAGGACTCTTGTCTTCAGGCTACATCTCAGGAGGCAACAACAACCTTCAAGTGAACAGAACTTACTGTGCCACATCCCACCATCCTCTTGCCAGACTCATAGGGATTCTCTAGGAAAAATAATCAGGGATCTGGAGATCCCTGGCTCATCAGCTGGCATTTTGGGCGGCTGTTCATCAGGGAGATACTTTAATCCCTAAGTGCTCATTAGTTGCAGAGTGATTCTTGCTGGGACAAGACCTGGACCCGCTGTGGCATTGCTCCCCTGGGGACTCAGAAGATGTTTTAACGCCAGTAACGTTGCTGGTTTCTTCTTCCTGTGGAGGCCAAGCAACCAAAAGCACAGTGCAAGAGACGTCCTGGCTTGTAGACCACAAGAGCATCATGTTCATGCCCCTGTTGTTACGAATGGGAAGCAATGGCTGTTGCAGGACAGGGCGTCTTCTCCTCAGTCCTGAGGCATGCTTTGTACCACAGATCCTTCACGTCACTCTTTCAGACATGGGATTAAGAGAAGAGCCAACTGAAGAGCCTTGGCACCAAGATCTCCGCTGTGCTGAGCCTTTCTTTCACAATCTAATCCTCTGACTACTGGCCTTATTGCTTGCTCCTTCCATCCAAGGATCAGACAAACGTAAATGAAGTCCCATAGTATCACCATGATGCATTATTATCCCCATTTTACAAGAAAGGGAACTGTGGCACATGGCAATTGAGTCCTTTGTCTTGGGTCACACAGTGAGTCACCATCACAGTCTCAGGCAGACTCTGAAGCCCTTCCTCCTTCACACTAACCATCAGAGCTTGAATTTCCTCAAAACCTGTTTGCTCTAATTAACCACAGTTTTACTGAAGCTGCAGACCTATTCCATAGTGCTCGGAAATCACAGAAGGCATTTGGGTCCCAGTGCGGCTGCCAGGTGAGGCTTGAGGGCTCCAGCGAAGGGAGAGCTGAAACATCTCGCACCTCCCAAGAACTTTGTGAGATGAGAAAAACTTCTGATGGCAACTTCAGATCTGTTCCATCACCTCTCCCTGTTACCTAGCACCTGAAAAGTTACATCCAGGTGAATCAGAATTTGAAGTGCTAATGTCCTGATTGTAGAGCTGGCTACAAAGGAAATTAATGAACAATAATTTCAAGAAGGGATTTAAAATTTCCATTTTCATTTTATTGTCAAAGTAAATATATCTTTACGAAGAACAAAAGAAAATATACAGAATTGTAACTTATGTACACTGGCTTTATAGGTATTTTTGTTTCCAATTTACACAAATTTTGATATGTTATTAAAAGATATTTTATATAGATATGCACCTATGTACAGTTTTATTTACATACATTCATAGGATGTGATATAAACCAGTCAACAGATGATAGTTCATTTATATTAATTTCTAGAGGACAAAAGGAATGCATTCGCTTTAGCTAGACCTGCTGTTCTTGCACAGCGCGGGCTCCTGCTCTGCCTAGTGCTAGAATCGTGGTTTCCTATTTCCCATTTTGCAAACAAAAAGACAAACAGATGCTGTCTGCGAATGGAAAGGAAATGCAACATCCATTATAAAATCGCTCCTAATTACTGAATTCTATTTTCTTCTAAAGCTTCTTACAATCGCCAGAGTTCAAAAGGAAAAACAAAACGAGAAGAAGAAACACAAACAAAATCACTTGCCTGCTACCATCTGATTATTTGTTTAAATTCCCTTCTTAGCCAGCTACCACTCAAATTTGTTTCTTTTGGCTACTGTTCTCACCCCTTCGCCCACCCCAGCTGCGTGGAGCTCTGACATGGCTGTCAATAGGGAGAGGATTAGCACTGAAGCTCACTCTTGGACAGAAGACCTTATGGTGCTGTCCCACCAGGCCAGGATGCCTCCCACCCTCCCTTGGGTACAGGCACATCCTACACGGCCCTGCTGGCCAGCAGACAAAGGGACATTCAGCTCCAGCCAGCGAGGCGCTGACTTGCAGTGATGCTCAGGATGCCCAGTGCCCACCAGGACCACCAGGCACCTCCGGGCTGGCGCTCTGGTTTCTCCCCGAAGATCACACAAGAGGACAGGAGCAGAGACGGAACTGAGCTCAGCCGTTCTCACAAACGGCTTCCTGCTGCTTTACACGCCAGACAACAGCTCTTCTGCTCAAGACAGCGGGTGCCGCAAACCAGAGTCAAAGGAAAGCAGCGTTCCCTTCGACGCACGGGCATCCTTTTGTCCCCGCAGCAGCACAGGACAGGAGAAGCAAGCACACAGTACGCGGTTAGCCACACCAAAAGGCTCCACTCCAAGCCAGGTAAATGCAAGCCAGAGAAATCAGAGCAGCGCGGAGGTGCATTCCAGCACTCTCCATGCCTTGCCTCCCCCTGTCCCCAGCTCCCACTTTTCCACCTCCTGTGGCCAGCCCCTACAAATCCTTGGCTCAGGCGACCCAAAAACAAAGCAGTTGTTTTCATTTCAAAAGGAATTTGCTGTTTCCAAACTGGACAAATAGAGCAGCTTAATAAAAACTTACAATGAATGGCCTGTACATGAGCAAAG